TAGGATTTAGGATTTAGGGTTTAGGGTTTAGGATTTAGGATTTAGGATTTAGGGTTTAGGATTTAGGATTTAGGATTTAGGATTTAGGATTCAGGATTTAGGATTTAGGATTTAGGATTTAGGATTTAGGATTTAGGGTTTAGGGTTTAGGGTTTGGATATAGGATTTAGGATCACGCGCGTGACGCGCGTCCCGGCTTCGTAATTTAGTATTCCGGGGGAAGGCCGGCTTCGTAATTTAGTATTCGGGGGAAGCCCGCCTTCGTAATTTAGTCTTCCGGGGGAAGCCCGGCTTCGTAATTTAGTATTCGGGGGAAGCCCGGCTTCGTAATTTAGTATTCCGGGGGAAGCCCGGCTTCGTAATTTAGTATTCGAGGGAAGCCCGGCTTCGTAATTTAGTATTCGGGGGAAGCCCGGCTTCGTAATTTAGTATTCCGGTGGAATACAAACCCTAAAACACCTTGAAAAACATTGAAAAATCGCAAAAAAACATTGAAAAACTCTGAAAAACCTTGAAAACCATGAAAAACTTGAAATCCTGAAACCGGTGAAGGCTCGGTTTTGGTCAAAAAATCCAGAAAACGAGAGCCCACCAAGGACCGTCGATTTCAGTACTAAAAAATCGCATTTTTAATAGGGACCCGGGCCGATCCTGGGGTCCCCCCCTCATTTGGGGTGTTTTTGGAGGCAATCTTTCCCTCTCAAGGGGGAGCCGGAGTTTGAGGCAAGGGGGGGTCTCCGAAGACTATTTTGCCTTTAAAATTGAAAAATGCCACCCCCCCTTGACCAAAACTAGGCTGTGAAAAGGTCGCGGGGGGCGGGATTTCATCAGAACTGAGGCTTAAAAACCCTAAAACACCTTGAAAAACATTGAAAAATCGCAAAAAAACATTGAAAAACTCTGAAAAACCTTGAAAAACCTTGAAAAACTTGAAATCCTGAAACCGGTGAAGGCTCAATTTTGGTCAAAAGATCTAGAAAACCGACGCGGCTGTGTATTATCCGTGTGCCGAATTGACTAGACGGTGCCGAATCGAGAAAGAATGTTGCGAGCTAAATGATCAACTAAAGTAAGAAAGAAGATATGTAATTCAGATGAAGAGGGATCTGGGAGGGAGGGGTGATGCCAAACACGTAGGGTGATGACAAAAACCCTTTGTGAATGCTTGGACCAGAGATGCTGAACCCTAAACACTAAACCCTAAACCCTAAACCCTAAACCCTAAACCCTAAACCCTAAACCCTAAACCCTAAACCCTGAACCCTGAACCCTGAACCCTGAACCCTGAACCCTAAACCCTAAACCCTAAACCCTAAACCCTAAACCCTAAACCCTAAACCCGAAACCCTAAACCCGAAACCCGAAACCCTAAACCCGAAACCCTAAACCCGAAACCCTAAACCCAAAACCCAAAACCCTAAACCCTAAACGCCTTGTTATTCTTGTGGCAAGCATCGGCCTAATTCCATGAATTTTGGCTGTCTGGCATGTCATTGCTACGCTGCTGTTGAGTCCGCTGCCTCTGTACATGACGAGTGGCTTCAGTCCTTCCGGGGATCTGCATACCATGCTTGTATGTTTTATGTCCATATTATATTCAAAAATATGACATATTCTATGTTATATATTGAATTCGATCTAGAACATTGCGGCACATATGCCATTACGCTCGAAACGCAACCTTCTGAAGCTTGGTCGCAGGCCGCGCAGACGCCGAAGCGCTGGGGCCCCCAAGATTAGGGTTTAGGGTTTCGGGTTTGGGGTTTAGGGTTCAGGGCGTAGGGTTGACCCGAAGGGACACTGGGACTTACAAAGGAGCCCTCTGGGGGGTTAGGGTTTAGGTTTTAAGCTTGAGCGAACCCTGAACCCTAAACCCTAAACCCTAAACCCTAAACCCTAAACCCTAAACCCTAAACCCTCAACCCTAAACCCTAAACCCTAAACCCTAAACCCTAAACCCTAAACCCTGAACCCTGAACCCTGAACCCTAAACCCTAAACCCTAAACCGAACTGGTGAGACCTGAGGCTAGGATGCCACCTATCATCCTTAAGCTGGCCATAATTCTTGTCTCCCAGTTCCGACATGGCTTGTACCTTTGCTCCAACCGTAAGTCCCATGAACCCAAGACCCGAAAAGTAATGATGTTTAGGGTAAACCCATGTAAGGATGATGTGCAATAAGCACCCTTGCATGGTTAATATAAGAACCCCTCGACTGTCATTTTTCTACAGCTTATTGTTAAGAGGGTCTTGGTTGGGCGAAGCCGCAGACTCTAAACTTCGTCGCCTTACTCGGGGTGCCCCTCAGAAAGGTCGTCAGCACCGTGGCCTAGCTGTAACACATCGAGGCAGAAGTTGCCATTATCGACGTCTGGCAGGCTTTCGGGGTCTAGAAGCCGACCAGTAGTTCGAGCAGTTGCCAGCCATCAGCCGTCGAAAGGTGCGAGAAGGAGACGCTAGCTTCCGCAGAGTCCCTCGTCGTCGGTCTTTGCCCTAGCC